AATACCGACAAGTGATTAATAAAAGTCAAAAGACCAAAGAGGTCACCTTAATACCAAAAAAAAAAAAAAAAAACTAATACCTGTAATTAAGACTAATTATTAAACTACTATGCTTTTATAGAATTCACTTAAATCTTAATATTATTTTATAATATATCTTTATATAGTACTTTAGTATACTTTTATTTATTATTTAAACTCTTAATTTAAATAGTTTGTATAGAATTATAATCAGTTTATTGGTATATTAGATTGATCTAATAATTTTTTTTTGGTTTATTCTAATAATTTGATTAGTAATACTTTCTATTTAGAGATTTTTAACTGTTTGATTACTTTAATATTTGTAATTGTTTTTAATAATTTAATCTTTATAATAATACTATTAAAAATTCATGTTATCTTTTTATTTAAGTCTTTTTAAATAGTCTTGTTTTTTAATTTTAATAACTTTATATAATTATAAAAATTTTTATCTAAAATTTGCATTGCTTAATATCAGTTTGTATTTTTTTATATAATCAATTATACAAATACTTTATGATTTGTCAGTCATGTTAATGTAACTATTATTACAGATATCTTAACTCAATTATTAAAAATAATTACTATAATATAAGTATTATAGGTATATATGATTATTCAAATTTTTATTATTAATAAAATTTGAACATTCAATCTACTATTTTGAAAGTTAACTTATTTACTTTACTAAGTCATCACACTTTTTTAATATAATTTATATATATTTTTATATTAATTGTTTTGTTTACTTATTTTAAGATCTATAAAAAAAAAGTAATTTTTGTATATTTTTACAATTTACTAAAAACTAATAAACCAAATTGTACTTAAATAAAATCTGTGCTAACAATTTTATTTTCTAAAAATAAATTTATAATTTTAATAATAACTTATAAATCATTTTGCTACGTAGCAAAGTTTCCAAATAAGCTTTTATTAATACGTTTTTTTTAAAAAAACAAAATTGTTAAAAAATTAATGATTAATTTTATTAATAGAATATTACTATATATAGTTTAGCAGTATAATTAAGTTACCTAATGAATCATATCGACTCACGTGACTAAAATTAATAGTACAGTATTCTGCTTGAAAATCCTAACTTATACCCGGCAATAAATTAAACTCGCCGGACTAGTAACGTCTAATAGAAATGGACCTCTGCCTGAAAATCGGGTCAAAGATTCCGGATACAAATTAAGAACTAATGTTTAAACTTTTATAAATGTTAAAAAAAATCCAGTTTTATTATTATTTTAGAAAAACGATGTCCTAAATTCTGAAACCTGCACCAGAATTTTCAAGTCCAATCAGTTCGTGATACGTTTCGATCTTGCATTTCGGGAGAGTACTTAAATATTTCATCACCTCAGTTACTTCAACCAAGTGCACCTATGTATCTATAATTAGAATAAGAGCAATAGGAGGTACATAAACACACCTGGTTAGAGTAGTTAGGAGGATGATGGGGGTATATAAGTACGTTCGGTACATTAGACATTCTTGTACATACGTACGTTACATAACAGATAAATAGTCACTTAGATGAGATCTTTCTAAAAAAAGACTATTATTTTAGCCTGAATCATGGAATCCAATAAGTCGGAATTTGAAATGATCATCGATATAAAGATACTATAAAACAAAAACTACATACAAAAAGATCATCTGACTGATCTGAAGGGGTGCGGTCTGAGGGAGAACATCTGATCACAATAACAGAACTACAATACAAATATACAAACTATTAGTCTGTACTCTATAGCGAACTATCTTTGGTATTATCAGGCAAAATCAGCCATCGTCACCTGAAAATCAAGCTCCGTAGTGAAAGAAATGTATGACAATGTACTAAATCAACGCATATCACCATTTTCAGTAATATTACGTCATCTGTATGTCACAAGAGGGTCACAAGATAGTCACAGGTTATCATCAGCTTTTCCAGCCATATATTTACCCAATGCCCACTAATTTGCCCTTCCCACACCTTTCTTAAATTCATCTCAAGAAGGAGCATCAATAAAAACCGTGACCGTTTTCACGTTCACCTGACTTTGGACCCTTGGGACCGTGAGACGTACAGCACTTCAAGAGTACACTGCCTACTCGCGTTATATTTTTTCACTTTCAACGCTCATAAAATAGTTTAAATACACACATTAAAATGTCCGGAGAAGCCGAAACTACAATTTTGTCACTTGTAAGCCCTTTTTTTTTTTTTCTCTCTTTCTCTCTCTCTCTCTTGATAAGGTTGCGCGCTCTAACATAGAATAATTTTATTGAATGCTTATAATTCAACATTTGAAGTTTCATACTTTTATACTTACGGTTATTTCTGAAATATAACTTACATATAGGGTGCCTATAAAGAAACTTCCACAACTCCGTCAAATATTAACCCGAAAAATGATGAAGCACAACCTACGCCTACTTCAATCCCTGCACAAACGCAAACAAAGCCCGTTGTTGTTACTGCTCCTTCGATCCAGACCCAACCTAGGTAAATACTCATTATGTTCCAGACTGTTATCATAAAATCAAATAAGGGCTATAAGAATACTTATACATTGTAAACGTAGTCCAAGCGGACAACCCAACATTGTCTCTGTGCAACTTCCTTCTGCTCCAATGCTAAAAACGGAGCCAGTATCGCTTCATCCTGCTCCCTTACCTATTCAACCAGCACCACTTGCTCAACATGGCATTCAGCAGACCCCACAATCTCAACAGCATACTTCTTTGCGAACTCACCCAATGCCTGTAACAACATCTCAGACGACACCGACTGGTAAGCCTCCTGTTGGTAGTGAAGAATGGCATCGACAACGCCGTGAGAATCATAAAGAAGTTGAGCGTCGCCGTCGTGACACGATCAATGCTGGAATCAATGAGCTAGCTAAAATTGTACCTGGCTGTGAGAAGAATAAAGGTAGTATCCTTAACAGAGCAGTTCAATATATTCAACAACTCAAGGAAAACGAAGCTACGAACATCGAAAAGTGGACATTGGAAAAACTTTTGACGGATCAAGCTATTCAAGAATTGCAGACGCAAGTGGAGGTGCTTAAATCTGAAAACGGTCGGCTCAGAGCGGAGTTAGAAGAATTACAAGGGCCAACAAAGAAGAAGCAACGAACTGATTGACGCGATAATTCGTTTTTGATTTAAGCATGTTTAATATAGTAGCTTGGAAGCGGGCTAACTGACTTCAGAAAATTTGAAGGGGTGAACTGCAGCATTTTTTTTTTTTTATTTGCAAGATACAACTGGGTTTTCTTGGGCGGACGTTTGCTTCCATTATTATATTTCAAAACCAAAAATCAACAAAAATTTAGTTATTTTTATATATATAAATAAGTTTTGTTATGATACATTAGCTATTAGTAAGTCAATGATTGTTAAAATTGGCACTAATAGTTAGTTCTTTAATTGGATTTTTCGTTGCACGAATGATGCTTGTAGTCCCTATGATGTGTAAATTTTATAGAGGGTAAATCTTGGGACTTCACAAATAAAAGTATTAAAAATTCCCACATCGTTACATATTTTATGATGTACGGTATAAATTTGGTGAGCGTGATTTACAAATAATGATAAACCCACTAAGTTTGAAATTTCTTTTTAAGTAAATCATGTTACCTAATTTTTTAGTTACTATTATCTTCTATAATTATCTATGTGATTTGACTCAACTAAGCGAGCCCATTTTTTGGAACTGAGTTGTTAACCTGTAGGAGGCATACCAACCTTCGTTAGATGTGTTATTAGCATTAACGTTAATATATAAATTAATTTTTTGGCTTCATAACATTAAATTTCAGCTGCCTTTTTGTTTTTTTTAAAAAAACTTTATATATAATAATATTTATCCGGTTATTATGATGTGTAAAAATTTAACCAGGCGCAAGCTACGAAAAACAATTTTATATGAAATAAATTTTTTAGAATTTACTGAAGGTATGATTACTTTATGAATTTACTAAAGGTATGATTACTATATAATCTATAAAAAATTTGGGATTAGAATTTAAAAAGCTTAATTAAGAAACTAGGCTTTTTTAGAATGTCTAAGATTTTTACTTAGACATCAAATATTACTTATTAAAATTATTTTGAAAACAATATATATATATTTTTTAATATTAAAGGTGAAGTTATGCTTTTAACTTTATCACAATTTAAATAAAGTTTTTACAAAGAAAAGCTTGTTTTTAAATTACATATAAAGAATAAAGATTTAGATATATAATCTGTAACCTAAAGCTATAAGAGTTGTTAAGGCTTATTTAGATTTGGTTGTAAGTAATAATATAGAAAAGAGAGATGTAATATTTAATCCATTAGATAGTCTAAAAGTAAATTTTAATAATAATTTCTAATATTGAAATAGGTGATAAAGTTAGATTAGAAAAAGAATTATAAAATAAGTTAATAAAATATATAATTTGAGACTATACATAGTGTAAAATACAGTATGAAATTTATATTTGTTTATATATTTGTTGGTTTAAATGAAAAAAAATTAATAAAAAGAGAAGTAGCAGTATAAAAATATTATAAATAGTAAAAATAAGATTAATAAGAATTAAACTAAATAAAGAAGAAATAAAAAATAATATATATAAAGTTATATAATTTAAAACTGTTAAGAATAAAAATTTTTTTATACAAATTAAAAATAAAATTAATAGGTATGTCAAAAGCAGTTGTATTTAAGATATAATTAAAAGAATTCAATAATTATCAGAACTCTTTCCGACGATCACCTGGACCAAGTTGGCACCGAAAGTAGATTGAAGACTCTGGCTCCAAAGTGGATAA